TTTTTTTTTCTTAATTGAATTTATTTAGCTGTGCTGAATCTCCTTTGCGGCAGGCAGGCTCTTTAGGTGCGGCATGCAAACCGTTAGTTGCGACATGTGGGGTCTAGTTCCCCAACCAGCGATTGAACCTGGGCCCCCTGTATTAGGAATGCAGGGCCTTAGCCACTGGACCACCAGGGAAGTCCCCCCCCCCTTTTATTTTTAAATTGTGGTAAAAATACATAAAGAAATTGACACTTTAACCGATTTTGAGTGTAGGGTGCTTGCACATTTCTTGTGCTACCATCACCACCATCCATCTCCAGAACACCTTTCATTTTCCCAAACTGAAACACCAAGCAATGATTCTTGAAGTAATAAAGGAAAATATCTCTGACTTTTTCTCTCTTCCTTTTTAAAATTTATAAGGAAAGGATTTGAAAATGCTTTTCTAGGATGATTAAAATCAGATCAGCCTGAAGAAGCAGAACAAGTGACTTCAAAGTATTCTTTCCTACCATGATATGGCACTTTATTATTTGTTTTTCAAAATATGAGTGATCCATCAGGGTGGGTTGGCATCTTTGAAATGGGCATTCATACCCTTAGAACATATTTTAACTTGGAAACATTTGGGAAAAAACTAGCTAAGGCTTATAGTAAAGAGAACCCCTGAGCTGGACAGAAGTGACTTTAGAAAAAGCACCGCTATGGAGCAGTGTCTGGTGAGGCCCCGCAGATCACAACCAGCAGCCCAAGAGAAGATCAGCACTATATCGAATCAATAGCAGGTTCTTTGTGCCAGGGCTACCCTAAACGTTTTTCTTTTTTTTTTGGAGGGGGTGGGTCACAGTTTCATTAAGATATCCAAGAACTTTCAGGTGTATCAGCTGAATTGAGAAAAGACAGAAGAACCAGAGATGAAATTGCCAGTAATTCACATACCATGCAAATCACCCCTTTGAAGTATACAATTCAGTGGCTTTCGGTATGTTCACAGAGTTGTGCACGCCATCACCGTAATCTCCTTAAAAACTTTTCTTTTTTCTTATTTTATTTACTCAGCCATGCCAGGTTTTAGTTGCAGCATGCAGAATCTTTTAGTTGCAGCTTATGAATTCTTGAGTTGTGGCATGTGGGATATGGTTCCCCAACCAGGGACTGAACCCAGGGCCCCTGAACTGAGAAGTCCTTACAACATTTTTATTACCCTCAGCAGGAACCCTGTACTACTCAGCCATCAGCCTCAGTCTCCGTCTTCCTCCAGCTCTAGGCAAATGTTAATCTACTTTCTGGACATTGCATAGAAACGGAATCTACCACATGTAGTCCTCTGTGACGGGTGTCTTTTACTAACGCAGAATCTTTTCAAGTTTCATCCACATGCACGAAAGGCTGTACACTCCGTTAACCCGTTTAGTCTTTACAAGGACTTGAGCAGTAAGTCCTGTTGTTCTCCTCATTTAATAACTGAGTGGACTGGGGACAGATGTGTGGAGTGACTGGCTCACGGCCGCACAGTGAGTTCAGAATGAGATTCAGGCCCAACAATCTGGCCCCATCCTGCTGCCTGAAGCCTCATTTCTAAGTCTTGCCTTTGCAATCTACCTCTTTATTGCCATGAAACCTTGTCCCCACAAGCAAAATTTGATACACAAAGCAGATAAAAGCAGAACTGGGAGTCTAGGCTCTCCCAGAGCCTCTCCCTAGTCAGCCTTTGAGGCTCTCCTGTGAAATCCTAGGGCACTGATTGAAAACCACTGCCTTAGGCCTAGTTTTCCTCAACTGTAAGATAGGCACAGTGATGCTATACTGCCTGCCCTCAGGGCTGGTGGACAGCAGTGTTATCAGAGGGCAGCAGGGCTCCAGGGAGCCTCCCTGCACTTTTAGACCCCATGGCAAGAGAGAGAAGCATTGCATTCATCTGAGCACTGCAGGCTGCTTTGAACCTGGCCCAACCAGATTTCTTTTGAGCTTCCATGGCAGCCCTGGCTTCCCTGGTGGCTCAGTGGTAAAGAATCGGCCTACAAAGCAGGAGATGAGGGCTCGATCCCTAGGTTGGGAAGATCCCCTGGAGGAAGAAGTGGCAGCCCATTCTAGTATTCTTGCCTGGGAAATCCCTGGACAGAGGAGCCTGGCGGGCTACAGTTCATGGGTTCACAAAGAGTCGGACACGACCAAGCGACTCAACAACAGCAATCAGGTTTAAGTCTGGAATAAGACCATTCAGTTCCTACCTTCAGCAAGGCCAAGGAGTTGTTTTTTATCTGTTCCAGACTATCTGGTTGTCCCTTGGCCTGGCCCCTGAAGAAAGTTGCTAAAGTCATCCAGCTCATTTTGCGAGTCCAATCTGTCCTTTCCCCTGGGATCTCATACCTCATCCTTAGTTTTAACATCTTAGCCCTAAAATGACTAGGTATGTCTCACTAAGATGTACTGTTGGGGGAGTATAAATGAGTAAATCGAGTTAGAAAATTTAGATGGCTCAAGAAAAAAATCCTATACTGTACAAAGTGGGCAGCAAATGTGGCTCTGAGCTTCTCAGCAGCCAAGGCAAAGAGGGAAATGTAAGCAGTTAGATTATTTTCAGTGTCCATAAGACTATAAACACATTTTCTTGAAAGAATCAAAGCTTTTTCTGGCACTGAGAGCTGAGAAGAATTTCAGTTGGGGCCTCATAACAGACATGATGTATGCCATGCAGTCAAAATTCTCAAGATCTCTTGACCTTGAGACCATTACGTGGCCCTGCGTGCAGGCTGGTGGCAGAGCCCTAAAGCACAGGCTGGGAGTAGGGTGGGACAAGAAGGTCTGGGCAAGTGATTTTTCAAACACTTGATTTGATTTAAGAATAAAATTTAGCACAGGTCAGCAAACATTTTCTGCAAAGAGCCAGAATAGCAACTATCTGAGACATTGTGGGCCATGCAGTCTCTGTGGCAAGTACTCAACTCTGCCTTTGTGGTGCGAGAGCACTGTAGACAGTGCACACATAAATGAGCAGGGCTGGGTTCCAATAAAACTTTATTTACAAAAGCAGGCCAGGGCCTGATTTGGCCTCTGGGCCATTGGCTGCTGACCCAGGCTCTAGAGGAAATAAAAGGAATAGCCTCGAGACATTCAGCTATGGGAAGTATGTCTCTCCTAATTTAGCTTGTAATTAGAATCAGCTGAAGGTTTCCACTACTCACTGGGGCAAGAAGGCAGAGTATGGATATTCTGTGCTCTTCATCAGTGGACAGACCTGTGTTTTTAAAATCGCCCGGAGTGTAGAGGAGGAATCCTGAAATAAGAAAAAGTATCCAGCCTGGGCCTGTGCTGAGGAGATGGCCACCTGGCAGACGCCAGCAGGGTCACAGGAGGCAGCACCTGCAGGCTGAGACTGGAGAGTGGGGAACAGGCATGGTTTGGAGGATGGGCTGGATGAGCCAGCCAGCACAGTGTAAACAATGTGGATTTAGTCCCTTGACTCTCAGAATGTGATCTCTGCACAAGTTGTATCAGTATCCCCTCAGTTCAGTTCAGTTCAGTTCAGTCACTCAGTCATGCCCGACTCTTTGCAACCCGATGAACCACAGTACGCCAAGCCTCCCTGTCCATCACCAACTCCCAGAGTTTACTCAAACTCATGTCCATCGAGTCAGTGATGCCATCCAACCATCTCATCCTCTGTCGTCCCCTTCTCCTCCTGCCCTCAATCTTTCCCAACATCAGGGTCTTTTC